TCGTTGTTTGAAAATTTTTAAACGTTTTTCTTTTAGGTTTATGTGATTCTTTTTTATTTAAATTTTTATAGTTTAATGTGAGATGTAGTTTTTGATCCTCCGCCACGCTTTCTCACCTGCATGATTAGATTCCTAACTTCAATGAAGGGATTCAGGTTTCCTAGAAGCGTTTGCCGTCTCCTGATTAGCAGCAGACGCTGAATCAGCATCTTTGTTATTATCGCTGCCCCAGGTGAATGCATTTTCGAGACAAATTGTATGTCACGTCTTATGGAATTTTGTTTTTTTAAATATCGTAAGTACGTTTTAGAGTTGAATTTTTAGATTCGTTTCAGTTGTCAAATGTGAAATGTACGCGAATTTAGATAAATACTGTACAACTCCGTAGAAGTTAAACGAATATAGATATACTTGAATTAAATGTTGCTACATTTATAATAAAAATATTTCTGCATTTGGTCCACAAATACAATTCTATTGTTTCTAATCACTGCCAGAATGCTGCTCTATACAAAAGAGTGCCTTAATAAAGTGAAGTATGACATCGCTGTACTGAGCACCTGCAATTAGAACATTTTTCATTTTTCGACAAAGTAGTAAGTTGTTTATACTGTATTTTAAATAATTTCTTTAATATGAAAAGTTAATTTTTATATTCGATGTACATATATTTATATTTGAAGAATTCATTTTTCTCATATTCTAAATTTAAAAACACAATCTGTTCACAATTTTTTTCATAGAGATGTTAATTTTCATTCTGACAAAAAGATAGAGTGTAAGCACCTTTAAATTACCTAAAAACTTAATCAACACATAGAGTTATTTTCACGACTGATAATTTATCAATTGTTCCTACTTTCGTAGAAAATTTTCATTTGTCCCTTTTCAGAAAATTTCTGAACAAATTCCAGAGAATGAGAAATTGAATACCGTGGTACAAGTTTCCAGCGAAACAGGAAAGAATCCGCTGGCAGTTAAACAGCTCGATTTTCTCGATCTTACGATGACCATTGTCAAGTCTCTTCTCAACCTTCTGCCGGCTTTGTCCATTGGCAGATGTATCCAAGGCCCGAGGTATATCGCAGTCCCGATGTTCGTACTTTCCTCTATCAGACCGTCGCAGCTATAGGTAAATAGCAATAGTTGGCATAGACTACCGACTATGTGAAATACGAAAGTAAGCCGCCTCGCTGGAGTCACAGGTGTCCAAGTCCGTGACTTACTTTGATCCATCGGTTACCCTTTGCCAGCGTGTCCCTTCCGTTTCGCGCATCCTCCTTTGTGGGCTGCTGGCTATTTTGAGTGTCGACGTAATTGCTATACTTGAGTGTGAAAAGAAAGAACGACAGAGAGTGTCGTGGAGTCCGTGACTTACTTTGATCCATCGGTTACCCTTTGCCAGCGTGTCCCTTCCGTTTCGCGCATTCTCCTTTGTGGGCTGCTGGCTATTTTGAGTGTCGACGTAATTGCTATACTTGAGTGTGAAAAGAAAGAACGACAGAGAACGTCGTGTTAATTTTGAAAAAGCAAACGATGTTAAATATGAAATTTAATAATTATTAATTCTTGCTTTCTGCAATTTCTAGAAAGCGAAAAGTATGAAATATGAAATTTAATAATTATTAATTTTCGCTTTCTCGAATTTTTGAAAAGCAAAGAATATCAAATATGAAATTTAATAATTATTAATTTTCGCTTTCTCCAACTTTTAGAAAGCACAAAGTATCAAAATTTTTAAATTTTACTTCATTTAGGTATTAATTTTCAAATTTTAACTATGAAATTTAATAATCAAAGGTTCAACGAAACGTACCACGAGCACTTGGAATCCAACCAGACATATCAGAAGGCTGAAGACAAGTATGTGTCCGAGTACAATGACCGTGAATATTTCGTTCAATCTGTGACAGTACGTGATATGATTCTGATGTTGTCGTACGCAATTTTTAAACGCCTTATAACAGTTCTCCGCGAAACGAGACAGAGCTGCGCTGGATTCATTGTCATCTACTTGCTTCCTGTTCGTATCACCCAAGTTCGATAACCTGTATTGCAGTATACGAAATTGAGTAGCCGCGTGCAGGTTCATCAAACACAAAAGGTTGTCGAAGCAAATGTAACATACACCAACGTGGTACAAAGACAGAACCTGTGCAAACACAAAATCTCTTGGAATTGAACACTTTACGTCGACTTAATCTTAGGCGATCTTGTTCGAGAATGTGTCTTCGATAGGTGTAAGTTGTGTTTAACTCGGAACGGATTGAAATACGAAGTTATTTTTAGGAGACGAAAACAAAGATGACTTTTTCCACTTTTATATCTTATTTTTTAAAAGAAGGAGAGATTGTCTGGAAATATTTGAGTGGAATGTTAAAATCGATCAGAGGCAATTTCATTTGTTCAAAATCCTATTAATTTCGTTGACACTTCAAATTGCACCACAAATTTTTTCACTTCGAAAAACTACGAAAATTTTTTTATAATTAGTTTACTTTATTATAAAGCTACTAAAAATTGTTCATCGCTATTCCAAAACCGAAGCAAGCATCGATCATTTTATCTAGCATCAGCGACAATGAAATAAACTGCGGATTTTTATGGATTTGCAGGAAATTTAAAGGTACAAAATTACACAGAATGCAGGTATATGAAAAAATATCGAAATTGTAGTGTTTCTTATAATACCTGTTAGGTGAAATAATTTTCTACCGAAATTCTTCATTTTTTCCTATATCCTCAAAACTGTAAATTTGCATAAAAATCATTACATCGACAAGAATGCTTCGAACGTTAAACCCGTCTCGTATTTTTCAAATTTCTAAATTTTCGCCACGTCCGTAACGTTGATTCCCACAATTACGGAAGAGTCAGGGAAACACGAACTAATTGCGAATACGCATATACGATGCTGTCAGGAAACCATGAATATTTCCTCCATTTGCCACATGATCGCTCGTACCGAATGCAATTCTAGGCCGCGAACGCAAAATAGTTGACACGCACACAGGTAAAAAATTATCGAACGACATTTAGGACATCACGGACAGTAACGGTTTGGCTTTTCTATTAACCCCTTAAACTATGATTTCCTTTCTGACTATGCACCTAAGCGTCAGCCATTTTCTGCTTTAGTACTATATCAGGTAACAAAAACTAGTCTGTCACAGATTAATGACACTTAGCAATCCCTCAATCTTGTAAATTCAAACGAAAATTAGGATTACAATGAATTCTTCTTACCAATACAACTATTTTTCTCACATCTTCGTCAGAATCTCTGCAACGAGACTGACGCGTTGTCATATGTGAAGGGGTTAAAAATTGGTTTTACCTTTAAATCTTGTTAATGCTGATTATAAAACTATATAAACAGATAATACGCCTTTGTATATAAACAAAGTTATTACCCTTATAACATTTTCTTTTATTCAACTTTCTCCTTGGGTGTCGTAATTCCCCTGCTCTGCCCTAATCATCTCACGTATCCTCGAATCGTGTTCAATAATTGAAACTGTACTTACGCCGAAATCTCCCCAGATGTGATAGATATCCCTCACCTCAAGCAGCACAGCGCACATAAGCATAAGTATCGTGCAATTCTGCGCGAACTTTCTTCGACGTTTCTCCTCGTAAGTGTCAGCTAACCAGAAGCCGATGATTTTCAAGTAGAAAGCTGTGACGCTCACTGATACGTCCCTGTTCTTCTTCGAAGTCATTCTGACTCGTTAATGACCGAGTGTTCACGATTGCCGGTTTCCGCGAGAGTTTTGCTTATCACCTTTATCACAGGTGTCCAAGTCCGTGACTTACTTTGATCCATCGGTTACCCTTTGCCAGCGTGTCCCTTCCGTTTCGCGCATCCTCCTTTGTGGGCTGCTGGCTATTTTGAGTGTCGACGTAATTGCTATACTTGAGTGTGAAAAGAAAGAACGACAGAGAACGTCGTGTCGGATAAATTATGCAAGATTATAGCCCTGGATGATAGCGTGGCGATCAGAATGTACGTGATTATGGCTGAACAGCTTTGCTGCTTCGAAGTCTTTCAGAAGTACGGTGCAGTATGATTCAACCATAATCTGAAGATAGTCTGTCGGTGAAACAATCTCACAACTTTTATATTTATATAAATTTCTTTTTAATAAAGAATAGATATATATGTCTGTTTTTAATTTGCTAGGTGATGATGTTTTCTACGAGCACTTGGAATCCAACCAGACATATCAGAAGGCTGAAGACAAGTATGTGTCCGAGTACAATGACCGTGAATATTTCGTTCAATCTGTGACAGTACGTGATATGATTCTGATGTTGTCGTACGCAATTTTTAAACGCCTTATAACAGTTCTCCGCGAAACGAGACAGAGCTGCGCTGGATTCATTGTCATCTACTTGCTTCCTGTTCGTATCACCCAAGTTCGATAACCTGTATTGCAGTATACGAAATTGAGTAGCCGCGTGCAGGTTCATCAAACACAAAAGGTTGTCGAAGCAAATGTAACATACACCAACGTGGTACAAAGACAGAACCTGTGCAAACACAAAATCTCTTGGAATTGAACACTTTACGTCGACTTAATCTTAGGCGATCTTGTTCGAGAATGTGTCTTCGATAGGTGTAAGTTGTGTTTAACTCGGAACGGATTGAAATACGAAGTTATTTTTAGGAGACGAAAACAAAGATGACTTTTTCCACTTTTATATCTTATTTTTTAAAAGAAGGAGAGATTGTCTGGAAATATTTGAGTGGAATGTTAAAATCGATCAGAGGCAATTTCATTTGTTCAATTTTTTAACATGTTCTTATGACTTTCAGTGAATACTTCGTATCGACAGATAAATTGACATCAGAAGAAGGGATTTATGCGTAATATGAAAATTGATCAGAGGAAGTTTGATTTGTTCAATCTTTAGGCATTTTTTGAGGGTATTAACTATGCGAAGTTGCGATTAATTGTTTTTGATAGAGTATTTGTTTGGTATTGGCAAAATTGTGTCTACAAAAGCTGCATGAATTGAGTAGACGTACCTGAAGCACGAACACTATTTCGTACGTTGGTGACACAGACAGCGGCAAATCAACCCACATGTTGAATGGGAGCACTCTATCGGAACTGTTTCTTCCAATATTTGCTAAAATATAGAACACATCCTTCCGTGTTTTAATTGTTCCATAATTCAAATTAAAATATCGACTCTATCTCCTTAAGTGATCACATTTAAACATTAAAATACCTTAATTTTTCCAAAAATATAATTGAACAATACTTTTCTTTAAATAAATTATTAATTAAAATTGCTATTAATAATATTCTGCTCAAAGTGTGCGTTGTAAGATATACGCTATTTAAATAAATAAACTCACCTATAATAGGTGTTAGCACGTAGCTGACAATTGTGCCTTGAGCACAGAAGTTAATCAACGTGATACATATAGTGCTAATTCTTCTGCAGTCTTGCAGCAGTAGTAGTTCGTTGCAATCGTAATTGAGGTGCCAAAAATTTTTGTACATATATACAAGCAGTTCGATGAATTCTTTCCTGTGTATGAATACAACGAACAGCTTTAACAGTACCATAATCAGGCAGAGAATGTTACAAGCGGTGTAAGCACAGTCCTATAATTGAAAAATTGTATTGCCTATGTGTAAGAAGGGTTTAAGTTAGCACGAAAAATCTCAGAATTTTTCTACACTAAATAAGACTTAATTGGTCAAATATATCTGCCATTTTTAACCCTTTCGCGACTTGTGGGACACTTACACTATCGGCCAAATGTTTGGAATCGCTGCTCATTGTAAGTTTCACAAAAATTTCTAAAAAAGATTAGCAATTTTAAGAATTTTTTAAGGAACTTTTTGTCGTTCAAATCCATCGAAATGAGGTCAAGTGCTACTAGTTTCCACAACATAAATTTCAGGTTTATAAAGAATTAGTAACAGATTCAATATTCCAAACTTTTGGCCGGTAGTGTATATTCCACTTGAGTGCTGATACACAAATTGATCTCAATTTAGTATTCGTTATAGACGCGATAAATTTGCAGATAAGTAACAAATTTAAAAAAATAATTCGGTCATGAAAGGGTTAAGCAAATAAACTTAATAAAAATCATTAACAAGTAGATGATTTGCAGATAAATAACAAATTTTATGAAAATAATTTCGTCACGGAAGGGTTAAGTAACTGAACTTGACAAAAATGTCAAGAAATGTTAGAAAATGTCATCGCTATTATACCTAAGATTTATATTGAAATAAGTATTACACTACCGTATTTTCGCGCGTATTTTTCGCACCCTTATTTTCCAGAGGTATTTTCAGGAAAAAATTAAAAATATTTATGTAAATACCTGTACAGTCCTCCCTTTGAGAAAATTTTCGACAAGTAAAAAGTGGGAAAAAAATGCGAAAAATACGCGCAGAGGTTCGGTAATTAACGACAGAAGAGAAAGTTTGCAAACTCACGCCAAAATTCGGCCAGGAGTAATAGAAGTCTCTGAACTGCACCCACACTCCAAACAAAATCGCGACCACCGTATAGATCAAAGTGTACCGACGCTTGCGTTCCTCCTTGCTGTCTTTCGCTAACCAAAGACCGACGATCTTCATTAAAAACGACGTCATTAACAGAGCAAAATCTTTGGTGTGCGACCCTTTTTTCACCGCCTTCGAACGAGCCGACATAACACCCACTTTTACCTCCTCCGAGATTTTTCTCATTGTTCTTTCACGAATAAATTTAGCGTCACTTGACAACGTCACTTACCGCGAATTTCCCGATCTTCCCCCGGTCGCTTCGTTCCACACTACAAACGTGATATAAAGTGACGCGGCTAAGGAAAGCGACCGCTAAAAGTGTGAACCTAAAGTGTCGTCGCGTGCAATATGCATAATTAATGTGACAACGACTGTAAGTAGAATGCGTTCAACTGCCATCACAGGCTGAATTGAATGTCCTTTACTTACAAGTGAAATTACCAAGTGATCTAGTATTGCGTGTCACATTTTCATCCGACATTTTCAGAGGACGAATCAGCCGGACAATTTCCCGTTTGTGAGCCTACGACTGTCGGTCGAATGATTTTTTCACTAGTTTGTGAAACACTCGATCTACGAACAGTATGAACCGTAGTTTCAGGAGTGTAGCCTGTTGAGTGGTGCTTCGTTGCTTTTAAGGTGGAATGAAAAGTGTTGAAACGACCTTATTACTTTCGCTAAAATTATTCCACTTTTGAAGATTTCTTTGTTACTAACTTTCTAGCGATGATGAATTGCGTTCGGAATTTTGTGAATAGGGATATTTACAATTGAAATGCGCAAGTGTTTGGAAAATCTTTGCATGCGAATTTTAGTTTAACACGAAAAGTGGGAAATTTCGTTTAACCCTTATCACTCTTATCAAATGATAATCTTTAAATTATTTGAAGACAATTTTTGTTCATTTCAAAGGTAACGTACAATATTTAACAGAAGTAAGGAAGTGTCTGATGGACACACTTGGAGTGATTAGGGTTAACACTGAAACGAAGGATCCGCATGGGACAATTGCAAAACGTACGATATAATGTTCAAAGATAATAATAGTCTGTTACAGTGCCGTAACAATTCTGTAATACAAAAATGACCGATGATAAATGTACGTTCTTAGCGTAAAGTACAAAGCACAGTATATTACACAGCAGTCTTAAACAACTTTAGGAAATAATATGTTGTCAGTCTTCGATGTAGAGATTCTTAGTAGCCTTATTTAAGTAACAAATTAAACGTGAAACATTGCTCCCTCTAAATACCTCAAAATTGAACGAGTCGTCTTAGTTACACTCTTTTGTTATTAATAACGAACATGGAACATGTACACGAAAATGCTTCTATACTAGGAATTATACTAATCGGCTATGCTCATAGTCGATTGTCTCAGTAGTGTAAAGTATGACATTGCAGTGCTGAGGACCTGCAATGAAATATTTCACGATTAAAAATTATTCAAGTGTATTACCACCATTTTTTGGTTTTCAAGATTGAACACCATTTTGTTGATAAAAAGGGAAGAGAAATGTCGAAAAATATGGAAGTACTCTAAGTTTGAAATAAAATATAATCTTTTATATTTTTAGAATTTCGCGTAAGTGAATGGAATTTTACGAACTTTCAATTTACTTTCAGGTTTTCTGGAGATTTCAATAATATCCAGCCTAAGTAACGAGGGTGTTTAAAGTGATCGTATCTCAATTGAGATTACCTATAAAAATGGACGTATCTTAATTAATTACCCCAGTGTAAGTCTCGAGAGAAACTGGAAAGAACCCGCTGGCTGTTAAGCAGCAACACCTGTTCGACCTCATGATCACCATTAGCATGCTTTGTCGCACACTTTTCCCATTTCTATCCATTGGCAGATTTGCCCACGGTCTTGCAAATACAGCTCTGCTAACGTCCATGCTCTCTCTTGTCAAACCATCGCAACTGTACGTGAACATAAAAAGTTGACACAAAGTGCCTGCCAGGTTGAGTACCAATCCGACGTTTCTCGAAGGTGGTGAGTCTGTCTGTACAAATATGGAATAATTAGGGTAAATTAATTAAAGGAAGATATGAAAATATAGGAGCAGTAGTAAAAGCGTAAATTTTCAAAGTACTATGCTTCTATGTTGCTGCAAATTGCAGTAAACTCATGCACACTCAATGTTCACAAGTTAATAATTTTCTATTTTTATTTGGTGCAATTTAATAATTTTCCGAGTTAACAATTTTCTATTTCCATTTATTGCAATTTAATAATTTTCTATTTTCATTTACTGCAATTTCATAATTTTCCGAGTTAATAATTTTCTATTACTATTCGTTGCAATTTCATGATCTCAGTTTCAAAATTCACACAGATTTTGATTGAAAGATTGGCAATCAAATTGTTTTCACGAAATAAAAAAATTATATACTGCTTCGAGTACGTTCCAAACTTACCAGAAATAGCTGATATCCCACGAGGCAAAGTACCATGGCTAGGAAAAGCACTTGTCCAAGCACAAGCAACGAAAATATGTTCTCCAACTTTTTGCAATAGCCTGTAAGTGCCTGATGGTATTGCACGCAACTCTTCAATTGTAAGTAACTATCGACTGTGAAATTTGTGTAACCAATTTCCAATTCTCGACCGTCTGTTTGCTTCTCAATTACATTACTCAAATTCATGAATCGGTATTGAAGGATACGAAATTGAGTGGCCACGTGAAGATTCAGAAGGCTGAGGATGTTGTCGAAGCACATGTAACATATACCGACATGGTACACGCAAAGTGTCTGCAGAAATAGGTGTCACTTTGATTTTTATGAAATTCATCTCATAAATTCATTTCTCAAAATCACAAAATTCACCGATAAATGTTTTTTTTCTTTTCTTCGATTTAATTATAATTGCATGGCTACTTAATTTCTCAAAATCACAAAATTCATTAATAAATGTTTCCTTCTTTTTTTTTTGTATACGTATAATTGCATGGCTATTTAATTTCTCAAAGTCACAAAATTCACCGGTAAATCTGTTTCACTTTTGCTCAAAATTCACCGATAAATTAAAAATTAACGAAGCATTTCTAATTGACTTATCGAAATGCAAATTCTGTTAAACGATACCGTTATCTTAAATTATCTTAAATGTTGTATAGTTTGATTTGCAACATACAAATTATCGAGAGATACGTTTGCTTACCTGTATGATGAAAAGGACTTCATAATAAGGCGACAATCCTGTAGGAAAGTCAACCCACATGTTGAAAGGTAACATCCTTTCGGATTGGTTTTTTCCAACATTTGCTAAAAAATAGAACACACAGTTGACACTTATTTATCGCACGATACACTCTTGAGGTTGATAAATATCATTTACAAGGTGCAAGAAATATTTTGTAATTACCTAAAATAGGTGTCACTACGTAACCAGCACACGTGCCCTGAGTACAGAAGCTGAAGGCAACGATGAAAACGGTACATATCTTCTTGCACTCGGATAAAATTAACTTCTCCCGTGAATTATAGTCGAAATGCCAGAATTTCTCTTGCGTGAACCTGATTAACCCGTAGAATTCTATTCTGTGCTTGTACAAAACGAGGATCTTGAAGAAAACGATCGCTAGGTATAAAATGTTGCACCCGACGTAAATGCAGTCCTGGAATTACGGAATTCTGAGTTAGAACGATGTGAAATACGTCTGGGAAAGAACGCAGTGACGTTCCAGAGGAATTTATTCGTGGAATTTAATATAAAATACCGTGAAATAAAAAGGATTATGGAATTGAGTGATTTCGTACAGAGAAACATTGTCAGTATCTAAATTTACGTGATAAAGTGTCAAAGCAATATTTGTATTTAGGAAGAAATACAGGAAAAATTTAGGAAGAAATTCATTTTTAGAGGGTTGATCATGTTACTTGAGCGAAATTAAAGGAGAATAAAATTATTGTTTACATGTAGGACGGTCGATGGTAACACTCTTTATTAAAACCGTGGATTCTAGGTACGAATCGCCAGAAAGTACAAGTACAGGCGCGACTTGGGCGGTCTTCAGCGAGAAGTCGCGGACGCGGCGGTTGTCACGAGGTATTACGCCTTGACGCGGCCAGATTTTTCAAAGGAGTGATAGAGGAAGGGAGAGTGTAGAGAAGGAAGAGAAATTGTCGTCTATGAACCCGCGAAGGAGACGTCTGTTTTCTCGGAGCAGGTAGTGTGGGAGAATTTGGAGTCAACCTAGAGGTGTCGCTCTATCCCGCGTAGAAGCGTCTGCCTGTAGGAGGTGGGTGGGTAAGGACGTTGGGGTAGAAACAGGACAGAAAACCTGGTCCTGGTGTCCTCGTTCGTTCCGTACTGACTTTTTGCAAAGGCACTGAGTGTCGTCTGTAAACCCGCGAAGGAGACATTTGCTACGGTAGTCTATGTTCGGCTTTCCCGGAGTGTAGATTTTTGCTTGAATTTGGTGTAGAGTCACCTGGCGTAAATCCGCCCTATACTCTAAAAGACTTTGGAGACATTAGGTATCATAAGAAAGAAATTTGGTAATTAAAAATGAAGTCGAAGTCATGCAGGAAAAGTACCCGGAAAGACTAATTTCTTACGGCGAACCGTCTTTTATACGTTTCAGGGAAGTTAGGCCCGACCAATCAGGGTGGTCGAGCCTTTTCACAGGTTCGGGGCGCGCGAGCCGCTATCCCACTACCTGGGGCTACGGGGGGTCGCGTCGTGCGTGGCTCGGGGCGCGTCGTATAATTAGGCGAAAAACGGTTACGCTACAAACAGAATTAAGTTTCGGTAAAGATGAAATGAAATTCTCAAGAAAATTTGTGCAATAATGAATAACCTCAAGTTACTCTAATTTCGTTGCATATGGTTCACGGACGTACGATTAACATTCACATTCACGTTAGTATTAAAACCACGTTCAAATAGAAGAAATAAAAACGTATAATTTTTGTTCACTAGGTTCAATATGGAAAATAGCAAAAATGTTTCTTCCGTCATTACTACACAGAATTATTAATATCTTCATTAATTGATATAAAATCATTGCAAATTCTTTTATATTAAAACATTTCAATAGAATTTTACACTAAAATTTGATCCATCTTCGTCAACAAATTACACTAAAACATATTTAATCGTGAAAAATTACACAAACACCGAATATATAGGAAACTTAGAGAAACTTTCTTTCCAGTTACTCAGCACATCCTTCGTTAATTTAATTGCGATTTCAATCTACAATTATCTGAATTAATTCACAATATGAAAATTTCCCTGAGAAATCTTTATCACGTTCTTACAAGAAAATATCATTTTACGAACCCAAAAAGCATGTCACAGATGAATCAACAGTGTCGATCAAAGCGAAATCTCCAAGTACTCACGTTCACGTTTCCCCAGGAATAGTATATATCTCTCATTGCTATACACGAAGCGATAAAAATCGCGTTCAGCGTGTAAATCAGCGCGAAATTTCTCCGACGTTGTTCAGCCTCGTCGGCGGCTAGCCACAGACCTACGATTTTCATCAAAAAGAACGACCAAACGATCGAGATATCTTTACTCTGCACTAAATGCATACCGAACGTCGGATAACCGTAGAAAACACGACCGATACTCTCGTTTCACCTGGACACTTTCCGATTGATTGTCCGCCGTGTGAGTGAGATTCACGTCAGAAGATTCACGTAGTCGTTTGATCGCGACAAACACTTTGTACCTGCCGCGATCCACTTCGAAAACCCCTGTCATGAGTTGCACGCTTACATTTTACGTATCCTTGCCCCGTGTGAAACACACAAGCGCCGCAACGTAAACGGAAGTGCATTATTGATGATTTAAGGCAAACGAACGGATCACCCCAGGTGACAACGAAACGAACATACTGTAACCGTGAGGTGAATCGACGAGCGGTATCCGATTGCATCCGTCAGCTGCGTATAATAAGAAAAATGCAGTGCTCTGTTACTTGATCGAACTCTTTATCGGTGATTCGGTTTGAAACAGATGAAACGGAAAGTAGAGCTAAGTTGTTGGAATAGTTTGCACGACAGGGATGTTTAACATATTTATCGGTCGTGTTTGTTGTGACTCCGAGACTCCGAAGTATTTCAGAGAGACTTTCACGATGGGCGTCGCGTAACCGAAAGATTCATGTTTATTTCATCGATACGGCGAGATAAAGATGATATAACTTAATTCTAAACGTAGATACGTGTAATCTTTGCTAGTTGAGAAGAGCAGTCTACTTGGTTGCAGATCAAATTGCGTTAGTGAGTTTTCTACTGCGTTTTTTTTTTTAATTTGTAAATATTGACAATGGCGAGGAGGAGAAATCGCGACGAAATGTATGCTGGATCTTTGTCAGATATTGATAGTGACAGTGATGAAATGTTAGATAGTAGCGAAGGTGCGGAAATAAGAAAGCACAGAATTACTGAAATAATAGGAAAAGGTACTATAGAAGATCCATGGAGAGCCTGCAAAGTATGTTCTGCAGCAGAAAAAAAAAAGGAAAAGGAGTTCGACGGCATTATATCATATCAAAATAAAATAATAATCGCAAGTGCCCGAGCTCACGAGCGATGCCCACGGGCAAGTGCTCTAGCTCACGGGCGATGTCCGCGGGCAATCTCCAAACAGTGCTCGCGGACAGTGCCCGAGCTCGCGAGCAATGTCCGCGGGCAAATGTTCGAGCTTTCGGGCAATCTCCAAATAATGCTCGCGGGCAGTGCCCGCGGGCAAGAGCGCTCTTATCACTCACCACGTCAATTTCATTCTTCAACGCGATTTGAATGCCACTGATCATCTCAACGCACCGTCCGATCTTCGTCCACGAATATTCCCCTCTATGCACGTGCCTTTCCACCGTTCCTCGCGCGGTTCTCGCTTTCTTCTGCATAATTTCTCACTGTATCGCTCGCGTATCACCGTGCAAACGGTCAATGAAATTTTACACACGTCCTCCTCGACACATACTTGTGACTTAATGCATGTCTCTGTATACGTGTATGTTAATGGTATGTCAAATTTGTATCGTTACACTGTATAACTTAATACACAGACTTGAAATGAAATTTTAGTACTCTCGATCGTCATGGTAATGGACTTATTTTATAAATTTTCGGATCACACTTGAAGAATCTTCAAAAGTTATCGTCTTAAAATCTAACAAATGTCTATTAAGAAAAATTCTAATTTAATTAAACGCTCATTTTCCAGGAACTTCATAATTGTATTTAGTGAATAATTATATATATTTTACGGTGAATTATAGAGGTATTTATTATTGGATTTATCGTTGAATTCCTGTTGTGTATTGCACGTACAGATGTGAAAGGAACAAAGGTTCAGGGTATTTAATATTTCACGGTAACCTAATTACTAGATTGAAAACGAAACCTCATCTTTAATGCTACTCATGTTTTATATATTCTGTCTTGTTTTACAATTATCCGATTACATGTCGATTTCCCTGTTGAGAGATAAAAATTTCTTTGTAAATATCGATAGTACTATTATCTCCCGAAGCAGGTTTCTCTGATCAGTTATTCATACTTTATTCAGCCGATCTCTCTCTCATGAGCGTGAAATACGACATTGTGGAACTCATTAGCTGCAATAAAGTATCGTTATCTTAACAGAAAGGTAGAAAATCTTACGTTAAGGATGCACAAAAAGCGAATCATTCAAAAATATTTGCGTAGCTCCGCGAAAAAAAAACTGTCACAAGTGGAAAAAAATTAAATTTTCGAAGGAAGTGAAAAGAAAATTTCCGAATCGCAGCTAAAATTATAGGCAAACTTCTGACACTTTCTTTTTTTCTGATTAGAAATGAAAGTTGAGAATGTTTACTTGCGATATTTTTCCAGTGCAAACAACATCGACAGAAGGAAGAAATTAGCATACCGCGGTAGCAGTTTTCAAGGAGACAGGAAAGAATCCACCAGCAGTTATGCAACACGGTTGCAACGACCTTACGGTCATTAACTTCATATTTCCTCGTATCATTTTGCCAACTTTATTCATTGGCAAAACCGTCCACATTCCTGCATACGTTGCTGTTGCAATATCCATACTCTCTTCTATCAAACCACCACAACTGTACGTGAAGAAAATTATGTGGATGAAGCTACCGATCATGTGGAATAAGAATATGAGGCGCGTCGTGGTAGGTACCTTTGCCTGTATACATGATTCACTGATAATGTAAGATGTTTCACACGAAACGACACGTCAAAAAGAACAATTAATAAATTTTTATTTAAACACTACGTTTCCAAGAGGAATTAAAATCTTAAATCTCATCCTATTAGTTATCGATTCTAAAATAATTCTTGCAAATATTTATTATTTTCATGCCGGTACACTATATATTTCAATTTTATTTATTTAAAAAATTATGCAAATTTCATAGAAATCATGTGTACCATTGCTGTCAAATTATTGTTTCAACCCTTTCACCACCGAATTATTTTTTCTCAAATTTTTTATTCGTCTGCTGATTATCACGTCTTTAATAGATACTAGCAAAGGGTTAACGTACGTTATTGCTATGAAATTGCAACGCAACATAATCCTTCCTTATTTCAACCCTTTCACGACCGAATTATTTCTTTTCTCAAATTTTTTATTCGTCTACTGATTACCATGTCCTTAATGGCAAACTAGGAAAGGGTTAGTATATGTTATTGCTATCAAATTGCAACACAACGTAATCCTTTCTTATTTCAACCCATTCACGACCGAATTATTTTTTTCTGAAATTTTTCTTAAAATTTTTCCTAAATTTTTTATTCGTCTACCCGTTATCGCGTCAATTTTTGAAGGGATTAACATGCGTATAAAATGTAGAATTGTAATTGAAAACAAAATTGAAGTATACACGTGTATAAACACAACTTGCTGTCCATCCCTTTAATTTCTCTTCGTCAAGCTATCGACCAAGCTCGCTTCCTTCGTCGTCGATCAAAGATAAAAAAAACCATAATTCACACCTACCAGAACTACCTCGTACGTGTCGAAGCACATCAACAAGCTGAAGACCACTATGTGGCCGAGTATAGTCAACGTGTACACGTTCTCGAGTTTCACGCAGAACTCGATCAACGACTGATGATTTTTGATGCAATCTATCAGCTTGGTGTAACATTTGTTCGTGTATTCGGTCATGTTCGTTCGCTCGTCGATGACCGGCCACATGTTCAACAGTCTGTAATTTAGTATACGGAACTGGCAGATCACGTGCATGTTCAGCATGCAGAAAAACGTGTCGGAGCAGATATAGGCGGCGCCGATTTGATACACGCACAGCGCCTGTGTAAATAGCAATTTTGTGACTGATAGAAGAGACCATCCCATGGCGTTCGCGACGTTAACGCGGTTCCCATGAGAACATTAGCGTTCTAATTGCGCATCGTTCGCCACGATTAAACGCACTTGAAAATGAACGGGCCGTCGCGTTTCGCGCGGACGTAAATGGAAATTTACGATACCTGAAAAGTGAACATCAACTCGTAATACGGTGTGTCGGATAGCGGCCAATCGACCCACATTTTGAATGGAAGTACTCTGTCCGATTTGTTCCGGCTCATATTTGCTGGAAACACAGACGGACGGGAATTGCTTCACAGTTGTCACGATCTTTCGCTGGATAATAATCTTAATTCGATTTCGGAGGAATTTTTGAGGAATTTGCGAATTCATTCTTAAATGTTTAGTACCGATTAATAGTTTGGGATGGGGACAACTGTTTTCGTAGAAGAATCGAAAGGTTTTGTGAATCGAAAGACTGAAAGTACCGAAAGACTTTGAAAGTATTGAAAAGCTTTGAAAGAATTTTGATTAATTAAAAATTGCTAAATTTCCGTAATTGCGAAATGGGATAATTTTGAAAGATGTATTGTTAATTTGAACTGTTCAAAATTTCAAGAATTGTCTAAATGGAAAACAGCGATGGTTTAATGATTAATTTTTCAGCGAAGAAAAAATAGATTGGGTTATTAAAAAATGAATTTCCTCACCAGTGAGTGGTGTGACAAAGTAGAACACTAAAGAGGCTTGCGTAAGGAAACATATTAGTATGACCCATAGTTTGCAGAACCTCTGGCAATCTCCATAAAGCACCCTCTCCTCTTTGCTGTAATTATCATGCCAAAAATGCTTCTGCGCGTACAAGACTATCTCCTTGAATTCCGTTCTGTGATTGCTTAGTATGAAAATCTTAAATATCGCCAGAAGAATGCACAGTGTGTTGCAAGTCAGAAAGATGCAATGCTGAAAGAAATATTTTGCACGGGTTATAGAATATTGCAAATAATGCATTTTGTTAAATTCAATTTCATTCAAGTGAAAATCAAGAATTAGCAAAATTTCGTTTAAAATTTTATTTTATTTTATTTCGTTTCATAAAATTTTAGATATCAAATTTAATCAAATTTCAGATATTAAATTTAATCAAATTTGAGAAATTTAATTTAACAAAATTTCAGATATTAATTTCATTATATTAAATCGAATTAAATTTAATTTAATATCTGAAATTTCATATTTTCGAAGGAAAACCTATTTCACGTGATTGACTGGTGTTCGATTGGAACAGCTATTGAAACGAGCGTCGTATAGTGTGTTACTTTGTAAAAAAAATCCAACATCTGTCGCAGAAACACGCGTTTATTCAGTTTCGAACTCCCGCAAGTCCCTCTTTATTTTTTCTGAGAACGCGTAGTGAACATGTGTCGTGCTACTTTACAGTACTGCCCCGTTTAAACACACCCTTTGCTGGAGTTTCACGTGGTTTCCGCAAGAAAACGTTGCAATAATGAAAGCAAGCCCCAATATTACAATTTCAAATACTGCCATCATGTTTCGTGGCACGTGAACGTGTCTAACGAGTGAAAAACGAGGGTTTATTTCCTGTGTAAATAGTAGTACGAACAGGATGAATGAAAGTGGCAAGTTTGTCATCTGCACCGATCGCTTATGGCTTCCTCTGTTAACTGAAACGTAACTTGAATGATATCTAAACAAACTGAAGATAAAATGTAACTCGAGTTTTAGAGTTTTGCGTACATTTTCCACGATAGAAATATTGAGAAAAGTATTAAATTCTAAGTTTAAACAATCTCTTCAGACGTTCTCATATTTCTTAAAAATTTTATAAACTACTTTGCATCCATAATTTTTCATTTATTCCCGTAATCACTGAAGCTCCAAGCGAATATTGCAAAAATTGAAAGAAGAATAGAAAAGTACCACAAGTATTATATAAATTAGGCAATTATTTTCGATTTTTCGTTCATTTTCATTATCACTAAAGCCCCAAAATAAAATTACAAAAATTGAAAAAAAGGAAATGAAAATTACCACAAATGTAAATTATGCAAATATTTTCGATGTTTCGTTCATTCTTATCGCTCTAAAGCTCCAAAGGAATGTTGCAAAAATAAAAACAAAGAAATACAAAATTACCAGAATAAATGTTTCGTTCCTTCTTATTGCTAAAGCTTCGCAAGAAAATTGCAAAAATTAGAAATGGGATAGAAAATTACAAATACAAATTATTCAATTATTTTCGATTTTCCGTTCCTTCTTATCGCTAAAGCTCCAAAGGAAAATTGCAAAAATTAAAAGAAGAGAACGGTAAATCACGACAAACATGATTTGCGCAATTACTTTGAACGAACGTCACTTAATTCTCATACTCACGCTCAGATCATCGAAGCTGTGAAGAATATCGTTTACGTTCACGTAAACGCCGTAAGAAAGGGCGAAAACTGATCCGAACAACGTGAACCTCCTTCGACGCTCCTCGACGCTGTTCATGGACATCCAGAGGCCGACTAATTTCAAAAGAAAAATTCCACACTTGAGGGAAATATCCCTGTATTTTGTCGCCTGCATGACAATTTCCTCGTACGACTTCTTTTCTTTTTCTTCTCAATTCCTAACTCCTACCGATAGAAAGTTCCCGGTGAAAGTGGCATCACTTTGATCTATCAATGTATTCCGTCATCCTGATACCGGAGTCACATGCCCTTTCTTACGGAATTGCGTGATAATGACAGCACATACATACGTAATACTTTCTTCCTTAATAATACACGAGACGAATGTGTTGTGATTGTCGCACCCTGCTGTACATGAAAAACTGTCCCGCCTGCAGCGTATTGATTATCGTATAACCGGGAACAACAATTTCGATATCCTGTGTCAGATCTGTCAGAGAGAAAGTTTGTAACTTCTTTTGTGGTATGGTACAATGTTAATTGGAAAGGGGGATGCGACACAGGCGATCGTACCTTCACCGCGGACACACCAGTGCATATACTTTCGTTGCCCACGGTTTGTAACAGGAAGACGGGTCTAGCTTTGAGAAGCCTCCTTTTTCCTTTGGTTATTGGTCAACGTGTAAAGTCAGTTTATTTGTTGGAATTTGGGAACTTTCAGATGTGACAATAAGTGGATTTTTCGAAGGGAGAATTAATATTTGTGG